GACCCTACTATTTTATAGGGTTTAGGGTTTAGGGGCCTGTATGGATAGCCATGCAGGACACTCTGCCTCTCTCTCTCTCTCTCTCTGCCTTTCTCTATGCCGTTCTCTCTCTCACTCTCTCTCTCTCTCTCTCTCTCTCTCACTAGCTCATTGCAGGAAGGTATGTATAGATTCATCCTCCAAGCTTGGGCTCTGGGCACATGGTCGCTGTTCTGACCCCTTCGCCCGCAATCTCCGAGCCGAAGATAAGCAACTCCTCATTCCAAGCTTAAGAGGCTCCGTCCCGCAGATTCTAGTCAAGAGCGGCAAGGCCAAAACGCCCTTGTACGCCCGAGCCCGCACGATTGTGCTAAACGGAAGTCCCGACCTCAGGTGTGCAAAACACGAACTTGCCGCTTGACTAACATACTATAACATACTACAGTATACGGGGGTTTCCGAAAATAGGGGGCTCTAATATGGTACCCCAGATAGTAGGATTCTTATTATAAGGATCCCAAAATAAGGTACCCTGATTTTCGGAAACTCCCATACTTGTATATACGCTTGAAGCTCAAAGCTTCAGCAATGGCATGCCGGAGCTTGCTCTCCTCCATCGGGCCTCTTTAGCCATGCTGCCAAGTAAGGATCACGACATAATATGGGGTCCTTTACTTTATTTATATAATTAGAACAGGGTTTGGGGGTACATTATACTATAATTATACTAAGCCCCAACACCTTGTTCTAATGATTAAGGCCCCCACATTAGCCTAAACCCTACAACCCTAAACCCTCTGCCTCAACGTGCGAAGGAGCGTACTGAATGCGTCTCGCAGCACCGATACCCATAGGCCCCATAGTAGTTCCTTTGTGGGACTACCTTATAGGATTCTAAATATGAACCCCAAAAAAGAACTACTATGGGGCCTATGGATAGCTTCCAAGGGGTGCTCCTTCTGGCGAATCCCACAACTCGCTGCGGAGCGCGGATCGTCTACGGTGGGTTGATGCTTATATAATATAAGCGCCCTTAGAACCGTAATAAGAACGCGCTTTTTTGTAATCCCGTAGAAGAAAATGATAAACATCCTTGCAAAAGCCAAGAACACTGAAGGATGTGGTGTGAAAAGTCTTTCTAGAATTTGATCGGGCTGTAGACTTTGGGGTTGGGTTGGGGGCCTAGTAACTGGGGTTTAGGCTTTAGGGTTGACAAAAAGCCCCAATTAATAGAGACTAGATTGCTAGTAGACCCGCATTTAATTTCAATGCCCAAGAAGACCCCAGGTGCCTCCGTGTGGGGAACTTTGCCAAGAGCGAGGATCACCGACTCCTGCAAAAGCAGACTCAGGGAGTTTAGGGTTTAGGGTGTTTAGGGTTTAGGGTTTAGGGTGTTCTTTCGGGGCTTTCATCACTAGGGCTTTTGGGGCCCATTGTAGTGTCCTTATAATAAGGAACCCCCCGAAATAGTATTGGTAAATATTAGGGTTTCGAGCTTACTGCAAAGCTCGGGGCATGGATCCCTAGGTGAACCCAAAACCCCTAAACCCCAAAACCCCTAAACTCAAAACCCCAAAGCCCTAAACCCCTAAACCCTTAAACCCCGACACTCTAAACCCCTAAACCCCCGAAAGCCTCTAAAGCCCCTAAACCCCTGAAGCCCCTAAACTCCTAAACCCCTAAACACTAAACCCCTAAAGCCCCTAAACCGCCTAAAGTCCCTTAGGGTTTAGGGGTTTATGGGGTTTAGGGGTTTAGGGGGTTTAGGGGTTTAGGGGGGTTATGGGGTTTAGGGTCTAGGGGGTTTTTAGGGTTTAGGGGTTTAGGGGTTGAGGCTTCGAGTTTAGGTGTTGAGGGTTTAGGAGTTTCGGGGTTTAGGGGTTTGGTTTGGGGGGTTTGGGGGGTTTGGGGGGTTTAGGGTTTAGGGGTTTGGGAGTTTAGGGTTTAATTTAAGGGTTTAGGGCTTTTTGTTTTATAGGGGTTCACGACCCCAAGACTCCCAAATCTGGTCTTAGATGTATGTGTATATACTGTATCTATCTACCTATCTAGCTATCTGTCTGCTATCTAACATGTATTTTTCTAGAGATATACATATGATCATATATGATATATGTCAGTACAATGTAATATGTCAGTACATGTAGAGCGGCAGAGATTGGCCTTGAACTTCATGGCTTGTGCGTGCGCTTGCGTTCCCCTACTCTCCGAACCCGCGCGTCCTTGGCACCTCCCAGGGCATGGCGATAGAACATGGCCATCACAGTCACGCCAACCATGAAAACCACGACCACTTGCATCATCACCATCTTGGCTCCGGGAGTTCTTTGGGCCACAGTTCAGGCTTCCTAGTTGATGTAGGGGCCTAGAGTTTTACCCATATAAATTTGGGGGTTCCTCATTATACTTATAGTATAATGGGCCCCAAAACCGTTACAGCGAAAGAACAAGGAATCCAGCTTGAAAGACTTTGAGAAAAGAGATCTGCATTTTTCGGCAGAGTCATTCCTGGTCGGTTTTGTGCCTTGCGGGCAGTAAACCCTAAACCCTAAACCCTAAACTCTAAACCCTAAACCCTTAGCAGCTCTTCGCGGTAAGCCTCTCGGGTTGAACGTAGCACGAAAGCTCCGAACTGAGCAGCTAAATTCCCAACTTCTGCTGAAGCCCGGAATTTCGGGGGCTATATGGGGGTTTCCGAAAAATTAGGGGTCCCTTATTTTGGGGTCCTTATAATAAGGATCCTACTATTTAGGGTGCTATATTAGGATCCCCTATTTTCNNNCCCCCATATAAAAATCGAAGTCGACAGAAAAATCTACAATGTCTGACGCCTTGGGTCTGAAGCCATAAACTCCACAAGCCGCAACTACGCCGAAACCTGGAACGTATGACACCGAAAGAGTCCGGTTTAGGGTTTAGGG